TTCGGTGTCTTGGTGTTGATGCGTATCCTGAACTGTGATGACCGCTACTTCGGCACGCGGCTCTGCCGTCTCCAGCCCACGTTCACGCTTGCTTCGATCATGGTCATGGACTTGATTCTGTTCTTCCTGGACACCTTCCTGTGGTACGTCGTGTGGAGCACCGTGTTCAGTCTGGGCTGGGCGTTCGCGAGCGGTCTCTCGGTCTGGACTCCGTGGTCGGACATCTTCCAGCGCCTGCCGAAGCGCATCTACTCGAAGCTGCTGGCCACGCAGGATATGGAGGTCAAGTACAAGCCCAAGGTGCTCGTGTCGCAGGTGTGGAACGCGATCATCATCTCGATGTACCGTGAGCACCTGCTCTCCATCGACCACGTGCAGCGTCTGCTCTACCACCAGGCTCCGGCGGAGGATGCGCCGTACAAGCGCACGCTGCGTGCCCCGCCTTTCTTCCTAAACCAGATGGACTCGAACAAGCCCGAGTTCTTCCCGAAGGGTTCCGAGGCGGAGCGTCGGATCAGCTTCTTTGCGCAGTCGCTTACGACGTCGATTCCCGAGCCGCTGCCTGTGGACGCGATGCCGACCTTCTCGGTGCTCACGCCGCACTACAGCGAGAAGATTCTGCTGTCGCTGCGTGAGATTATCCGTGAGGAGGACCAGAACACGCGTGTGACGCTGCTCGAGTACCTCAAGCAGCTGCACCCGGTCGAGTGGGACAACTTCGTGAAGGACACCAAGATTCTCGCGGAGGAGACGAGCGGCTTCCCCGGCGCGGCGCCTTTTGGTCTTGAGGACGAAAAGACGGGCCTGAAGGGCAACGGCGGGAAGACGGACGACCTGCCCTTCTACTGCATTGGTTTCAAGTCGGCGGCGCCCGAGTACACGCTGCGTACGCGTATCTGGTCTTCGCTGCGTGCTCAGACGCTGTACCGTACCGTGTCGGGCTTCATGAACTACAACAAGGCGATCAAGCTGCTCTACCGTGTCGAGAACCCCGAGGTGGTCCAGCTGTTTGGCGGCAACACAGAGCGTCTCGAGCGCGAGCTGGAGCGCATGAGCCGGCGCAAGTTCAAGTTTGTGATCTCGATGCAGCGCTACTCGCGCTTCAACAAGGAGGAGATCGAGAACACCGAGTTCCTGCTGCGTGCCTACCCCGACCTGCTGATTGCCTACCTGGACGAGGAGCCCGCGCGCAAGGAGGGCGGTGAGTCCCGCTGGTTCTCTGCGCTCGTCGACGGCCACTCGGAGATGCTTCCCAACGGCCGCCGCCGCCCCAAGTTCCGTGTGGAGCTGCCCGGCAACCCGATTCTCGGTGACGGCAAGTCGGACAACCAGAACCATGCGATCATTTTCACGCGTGGCGAGTTCCTGCAGCTGATCGACGCCAACCAGGACAACTATCTCGAGGAATGTCTCAAGATCCGCAACGTGCTGGCCGAGTTCGAGTCGATTGACCTTCCCGCGGAGAACCCGTACGGACCGCACTACGAAGCGTTCAACAAGGCGCAGGTGGCGATCGTCGGCTCGCGTGAGTACATTTTCTCGGAGAACATTGGTATTCTTGGTGACGTGGCTGCCGGTAAGGAGCAGACGTTCGGTACGCTCGCTGGTCGTGGTCTGGCGCAGATTGGTGGCAAGTTCCACTACGGTCACCCCGACTTCCTCAACTCGCTCTTCATGAACACGCGCGGTGGTGTGTCGAAGGCGCAAAAGGGTCTGCATCTCAACGAGGATATCTATGCCGGTATCATGGTGTTCAGCCGTGGTGGTCGCATCAAGCACTGCGAGTACTACCAGTGTGGTAAGGGTCGTGATCTTGGTTTCGGCACCATTCTCAACTTCATTACGAAGCTGGGCAATGGTATGGGTGAGCAGATCCTCTCGCGCGAGTACTACTACCTCGGCACGCAGATGCCGGTCGACCGCTTCCTCACGTTCTATTACGGCCACCCCGGTTTCCACATCAACAACATCATGGTCATCTTTGCGGTTCACATGTTCATGTTCTCGCTGATGTTTATCGGGTCGATGTACTCCTCGGTGTCGGTGTGTCCCGACAGCGGCAGCGACTTCATTCTGGGCACCGGCAGCTGCTACTTCCTGAACCCCGTGATCTACTGGGTGCAGCGCACGGTCATCAGTATCCTGTTGGTGTTCATGATTGCCTTCTTGCCGCTGTTCCTGCAGGAGCTGTCGGAGCGTGGTGCGATTGCCTCCTTCATCCGTCTCTTCAAGCAGTTCGTCTCGCTCAGCCCGCTCTTTGAGATCTTCACGACGCAGATCTACTCGCACTCGATCATCACGAACCTGACGTTCGGTGGTGCGCGCTATATCGCCACTGGCCGTGGTTTCGCGACGACGCGCCAGACGTTTGCGCTGCTCTACAGCCGCTTCGCCGGGCCATCGATCTACTCGGGCATGCGCGCGCTGCTGATGTGCTTCTACGCGACGCTCAGTGTCTGGATGCCGCACCTGATCTACTTCTGGATCAGCTTGGTGGCGCTGTGTGTGGCGCCCTTCCTGTTCAACCCGCACCAGTTCGCGGTCGCCGACTTCATCATCGACTACCGCGAGTTCCTGCGCTGGATGTCGCGCGGCAACAGCCGCAGCCACGCCAACTCCTGGATCGGCTACACGCGTCTGAGCCGCACGCGCATCACGGGCTACAAGAAGAAGCGCCTTGGCCACCCCTCAGAGAAGCTCGCGAACGACGTGCCGCGCGCCGGATGGAAGACGATCCTGATCCACGAGGTGATCGTCCCCGTGGCCATCGCCGTCATCTTCGCCGTGTGCTACTGCTTCGTGAAGAGCTTCCGCGCGCTCCCCGCCGCGTCGAACCCGAACGACCGCCAGGGCGGTATTGTGCGCCTTGCGATCATCTCGCTCGTGCCGATCGCGTGGAACGCGGCGGTGCTTCTGATTCTCTTCCTCACGAGTCTCTTCTTTGGCCCCGCGCTGAACTCGTGCTGCGCCAAGTTCGGCAGTGTGGTCGCGGCCATTGCGCACCTGCTCGCGGTCGCCGGTGTGCTCGCCGTCGGTGAGTTCTTGTGGTACATCGAGTACTACAACACGGCCAACACGGTGCTTGGCCTGCTCGCCATGATCGCCATCCAGCGTGCGATCATGAAGATCCTCACCTCGGTCGTGATCTCGCGTGAGCTCAAGCACGACGAGACGAACCGCGCGTGGTGGACCGGTCGGTGGTACGGCCGCGGCCTCGGCGGGCACGCCTTCAGCCAGCCCGCGCGCGAGTACGTGGTGAAGATCATCGAGATGAGCATGTTCTCCGCGGACTTCATCACCGCGCACCTGCTTCTCTTTGCACTCTCCATCCCGCTCGTCGTGCCGTTCGCGGACCGCATGCACTCCACGGCGCTCTTCTGGCTGCGCCCCTCGAAGCAGATCCACGCGCCGATCTACTCGCTCCGCCAGCGCGCGCAGCGCCGCTCGATCGTCCTGCGCTACTCGGTGGTGTTCGCATTTGCGTGGATCGTCTTCCTGGCCCTGATCCTCGTCCCGATCATCCTCGCCAGCACGCGCAGCGACCAAGAGAAGTACTCCATGTGCCGCTGGTGCGCGACGCTTTAAGAGACTTTTTTTTGCTCGTTCCCCACCCCCTGTTTCCAGGTCGCTGTGCTTCGGCACTCATATATAGATGCGATCCTGCGCCACCTTCCCTTGTATCGTGGTCCTATGCTATGAATAGATTCTCACTTGAATTGTCCTATGCACATTCGCCGGTCCCTCCTCATGCCGGCGTCTTCTTCACAAGGCCGCAGGGGCTCATGTGGCGCCCGAAGGCGGCGCCGACGGCGGGCCCTCGTGCAGCGAGAGTGCCTCGATCGCCGCTTCCAGGCGCTGTGCCGCCTGCTCGTCGCCCTCGCCGCCGTTCACGGCGCTGAGCGCCGGGGCCGATGCGACAACCGGCGACGACTCGGTCACAAAGACCGAGGGCAGGCGCTCTCTCAGGTGCTGCCTCTTGGGATCGCGCACTTTAGTCACACGCTCCGACGTCTGGATGGGCGACAGGGAGACATGTGCACGCTGCCGCGCGTGCGGCGAAAGCGACGACGGGCGCGACGAGGGCTTCCATGTCGAGCTCGGGCTTCCCGACGGCGCAGAGTGCGCAGCGTCTTCCGACATTGCGCTCGGCGTTGCCAGCGGAGACGTCGGCGCCGAAGTCGGGATCACCTCGGGTATCTTTTGCTTGTCGAGCCACTGCGCGCGCTGTTTCTTGGTCGTGGCGGTCAGATGCAGCAGGCTGGTGACAAGCTCAATTTCTGCGTCGCTCGCCACGCTTCGTCCGCTCGCACCCGGCGAGCGCGCCCGCGGGCGGGCATTGCGTATCCAGGTGCGCAGGCAGTCTTCCAGTAAGCGCAGGCTTCTCCGCAGCGTGGTGGCCGAGTCGTCGTCGGGAGACTCAGTGGAGCCTACGCGGGTCACGAAGCAGGTGCCTTGCGCCGGCGGCTTGCGCGGGTCGATCGGCCAGGTATACAGCGTCATACACGGGTGGTATAGGAGTGAGACCATGTATTTGGCACGGGCTTGCGGACGCTCAATCGCCAGCAACGACCAATCCGCCGCTCGGTAGCTCAAGTGCTCGGGTAGCGCTGGCGGGGGCAGTTCCGAGCCTGCCAGTGGCGGCGGCGTCAGCGGCGTGGCTGGAAGCGACGACGATGATAGGTTTTTGTGCCGATATGCCAGCGGATGGTTCACCGAGCTTCCGTACTGATTCGGCGTTGTAAGCAGAATCCCGGCCCGAGGCGAGGGTGGCGCCGAGCGAGACTGGCTAGGTTGCTGGGCTGGTGCAGCTTGGTACGTCTTTAGTGAAGACGGAAGTGCATACGTATGCTCTGACTGCCGCTGCATCGCCCACGGATACCTGCCCTGTGACCGGGATGGGCGACGGGACAAAAGATACACTCGGTGGACCAACATGAAATGAATCAGGCCATGACTCGTTCCGCTCATATACGGACTTTACCTGTAACGAACCGATTGGCGGGCCGTTAGTTCAGTTGGTAGAATGCGTCTCTCCTATGAAGGACACACAAGATGAGGTCCTGGGTTCGAGCCCCAGGCGGCCCTCGCATTTCATTTTTTTTTCTTCGTCCTAATTTTTTTTCGGCTTAAAAATTGAATTAGTTGATGTTCATCTCATTGTTCCAGATGTTCTATTCTGGTGTGCTTGTATGCGTATTGCGTTTCCTACTTAGCTAGATTGGATCTTTTGTAGCCATTGTCGCATAGCCGAGCACGTCTTATTAAACCGCTCGGAGAAGGTCGACATCGTGCCATAGTCGTGCACGCCACCCTCATCGACGTACAGCTCGACCTGTCCTCCGGCGGACTGAATTTCTTTCACAAAGAGCATGTCTTCATCAAAGAGCGCTTCCACACTTCCTAGGCACACAAAGGCAGGCGGGATTTCAGCAAAGCTGCTTTTTGGGTAGCAAAGAGGACTCAGCCAGGGACTCTCGAGAGGCGCAGGGCATCGATCTTTGTGCTTGGGGCCCACTTGTAAGGCGTCGACACCCCAGTGCCCATACGCAAATTCAAGAATATCGTACCGATGCCCAACACCATTTAGGTCGCGGGACGGCGTACGGATATCATACGCACAAACCCATGGGGAGATCAAAATTAGCCCAGGCACACCCGACTTGGTCGGTGCTTTGTTGTCCCAGTCCGCCGTCACACTCTTGCCATCGCCGCGCAGGTAGTGTTCCAGTTGAAGGGCTAGCCAAGAACCGAAGCTGTCACCGCCAAGGTAGATCTGAGATGGATGATAGCCGTACGTGTCTCTCAGATGGAGGTAGCCGGCCAGAGCTTGCAAGATTTGCACAGGGAACGGCGCAAAGGGTGCCAAATAGTAATCCACAGAGAAAACGTCAATTTCGGCCTTGCGAGCAAGCGTTCTGCACAGTGTCTGGCCCATGAACACATCACCAGCCGCAAATGTCACCGCTGCGCCGCCATGGAAATAGAGCAGTACAGGGCGCTTTTGGGTACCCAAAGGTCCCGTTACGGGGTGGTGCAAATGATTGTGCATAAACCAGAAGCCCTTGACACGCGTTTTGGCCCACTTGGGCTCGACCAGCGCAGGCCCTTGATACTCACTAGAATCAACGACTTGGTTGTCATCCACCTTGATGGAGAGAATGCCTTTGAGGTCCTCGAGAGGAGGTGCATCGAACCAATCCCTGTCTCGACGGCCCTCACGCGTGTACTCCGAGACCTGGCTAAACACTGGTGGCGCAGACGAAACGAGACCGCCTGGTCCGGAAAGATTAACCAGCGACAAGAAACCACCCACGATATTATTCATTTCACGCCAGCCCTTCTCACGCGGGGGGAGCGGCTGCATCCTGAACCGCACTAGATTGCGCATAGCACGCTGCGTAATAAATACGCCCAATGCTTCGAGAGCGGTCCAATTCTTGTACCGACCATGATAGTAGGGGAGATAGGCACGAAGAATGTAGAGTGGAAGGTAAAGCAACGAGGTCGGTACGAAGAAGAGATGGAACACCAAAGCTTTAAGAATGTAGGGCCAGTATTTGAACTTAGCTGGCTGTGCTGCCTGGACAGCTTGTTGCACTTTGGCGTCCACGACCATGGGCTTTGTAATTAGACGTTGTGGTGCGGAGACTTCGTGGGGATTACCGGCTGACAAAAATAGCAGCAACTATTCGATAAGCCGAGATTCACATGGCCGGTAACAAAGCATTTAGGACTATATATGACATAGGCACGGTCTCTCTCCAAGAAGTTCTGCGTAGTTTAGTGGCTATGACGGGTCCTTGTCATTAAGGCTTGTCCTACTGGTTCGGACCAGACCCGGGTTCAATTCCCGGCGCGGAAGCATTTTTTTAAATTTTTAGCACGGATCTTAATTCAAGTCTGTCCTCAGATTCATTTTTTAAGTTTTATATTTAGTACTCAGTGACACGAAACGTATGAATAACTTTGCTATTTACCCGAACGCCGCTTCGCACGACTTCGGGAAGACGAGCTCGCGTACTCTCCACGAGCTGCCGTATTTGTCGAAGCAGTGCTTCCCGTTTTGAAATTACCCGGATCTGGATCATAATTTCTTGCCATGCCATCTGCGTTGTGCGCATCTTGCAAACTTGATTGTGCATTATTATAAATCCTGGTTGCCTGGTACTCTTCGTTGTCCCTTTTTGTCGCCCAGCATCTGAGCATGTTCCAAATATGGCCTCTGTGCCATTCGATATCCGCGAGCAAGGATCGAACTTCATCGAGACGTTCCATGTATTCCATGCTGTCCATATACAAGTCATTAAGACAGCTTAGGCTTGCATAGACAATATCTCGCTGTTCTTCTTCCGTTACTGTGACAGAATGCGGACCTGTTGTTTCAGCAGTGTTTTCCGGAACAGGCACCACGAGCCCTCCTTTGGTAAGGAAGAGGTTATTAATCTGTGCCAGCGGCGGAGCAATGTCCATAGGGCCAAGGGGCGACGGCTCAGGATTTGGCCTATTCGATGTTTTTGAAGAGGACCCCTCTGCATCTTGTTGTTTCTCTGCGTCTTCGTTTTTGAAGGAATCTGCCTCCCGTTCTGTGTCCGGTTTTTCTTGCGAATTTTCTACTCCCGCTTCGCTTGTGTCCATTTTGTCAAAGTCGTCGGACTCTTCGATGTGCTCACGTCTCCCAGATGCATCAGATCCTTGTAATGCTAGAGATCCAACGGCATTCTTTTCTCTCTCTCTTGGATCCGAATCAAAAATCCGTTCCATTGCACCGAAGCAACGTCCTAAAGCGTGTTTCATGTTATGTTCGCTCTCGCGCAGATCGAGTGCTGTGCGACTGAGTGAATTAATATGTGTGTTGCAAAAAATTTGCTTCAGAAGCTTGCTTCTTAGCAAGTCATGCGCATTAAGGACGGGTAGAAGGAGAGAAGGTGCAAGCGTAGCCGCGCTAAGCGACTTTTGCTCTTCTTGGTCCATATCGTCACTGAGCAAGTCATTCTCCGAACTGTAAGCGTCTTTTCGAAGCTTTCGGCGCTTCGAGAAATTACCTCTGCCGCGCCGACGTTTGATTTTGGGGGCCTCTCGGAAAACGCCTCCCATGCTTCCAGGCATATGTGCCTCCGCTTCCAGTAATGCTTCGACGCTCGCATGTTGAAATGCGTCGATTCGTCGGTCTTCACGTTTGCGAAGCTCGTTTTCCGTCCTCGCCTCAGTCCAATCCCCTAGCTTGCCACGGTGAACCCAGCGCATTCCATCTTTTGCTCGGAGTTTGTAGTTGCGGTTTGTATATTGCGATGGACCGGGCTCATTCCAGTCCGAGTCACAGTCATCCTCATCTGCATCAGAATAGTACGCTGATTGGTCATTCTCTGGAAGCGATCTGGGATTAGCACGCAGACGTACAACCACATGAGTTTGGTAAGCTCCTGTTGTCGTAATTGCTGTTGAACGTCAGGGTTGCTCGGATCAAGAGCTGAAGGATTTTCAGCACTGTCATTTTGCGGAGCATTGGATGAGTCCCCATCATTTAGATGCTGTACCGAGACATTGTGTAGCGGCATATCCCGTTGGGCACCCGCGTCAGTGGGCGCAGTAGATGGATGCGGCCCAGATGGATCCGATCTCGTTGTGGGTGGCTCGGCATGTAAGCCAACCTGGGATCCATCTTCTGAGGCCTTATCCAAATTATCTTGCTGAGTCTTTGAATCGCGATGCTCTGGAGGAGCCGCGGGCTCCCCAGGTCTTGGCGCCTCAAGCATCACAGTGCAATGCAGTGGATCCTGCACCTGCGTGGACAAGATGCGCACGCCCACGCTTAGACCATCCTTACCTAATCCATCTCACTATCACGTGGTATCGGCCGAGCTATGGAATGTTGGCGTGCTGTAGCACGCTGCGGCGCAATCCGATTTGATGCGCAGTTGCGATAATTCGGTGACGCAAACTGCAAGCAAAAGCGGGTGCCTGCACCCGGCATCCGCATCCTCACATAGTTCCACTTCGTCGAGGTGCTTGCCGTCGAATCCCTGGATCCTTCTCGCAGAAACTGCGATCAACTAAACACTCGCATCAAGAGTGCATGATCCACTGTGTTACATCTGTTTGAGGCTATTCAAGTATCGTTTGAATAGATCGTGGAGTTATTATGTCCACGGCAAGTCCCTCGGTTCCCTCTGCGAGCCCGTCGCAGTACGGGGCATCCTCGGTGCAGCATGCACAGGCGCCTCCCGCAAGTCATGGCAGCGCGCCGCCTTTGCATGGCCACACCAACTCTGGTATTGCACCTTCTTCGGATTCCCATGTCGGTCACGCTTCTGGCGTGAGCCTCTACGCTGACAGCGTTCAGCCTGCACCACATCACCTTACTGCAGGATCTTTCCCGAGTGCGCAAATTTCGCCGATGGCTTCTCCTTATGGTACATATGGAGCCGCCCAACACCCCATGTACGGTGGTTCGTACTCGGGGCATGCGTATCCTCCCTACCCTAATTATATGGGTCACATTTCGCACTATGGACATCCTTCGCACTATCCCGCGACGTCGTCGACTCATGCCTATCACAACCAGATGATGAGTGGAATGGTGCCACATGGTGGTTACAGTCCACATGTCGCCAGTCATATGGCGTCTCACCACGCACAAGTGGGTGCGCCTCTCTCAATGGCCGGCTCGGCACAAGGCGGAGGTCTCCCGGCTGGTCCAGGGGGGCCTATCGCATCTAGCTCGATGGTCCAAGCCCCATCGTACAGCTCGACACCGCAGTACAGCACCCAACTGCCTCTGGCAGGGCGCCACCGTGTGACTACGACGTTCTGGGAGGACGAGAATACTCTGTGCTTTCAGGTGGATGTAAAAGGTGTTTGTGTTGCACGTCGTAACGACAACAACATGGTCAACGGTACCAAGTTACTCAACGTTTGCGGCATGTCACGAGGCAAGCGTGACGGTATTCTCAAAAACGAAAAGGAGCGAATTGTCGTTAAGGTGGGTGCTATGCACCTGAAGGGCGTATGGATCGCTTTCAACCGGGGCAAACAACTCGCTGAACAGCATGGAATAGCTGACGCGCTTTACCCTCTTTTCGAACCCA